TTGGTTGCATCGGAGACGGATACCACGAGGAAGCACTCGCTCCGGAAACACAAGCCATCGTTTCGAGAAAGATTAGGCGTCCAAAGCTAGCAAAACGCTACCGTCAGCGCTATTGTGCAAGCTATCAACTCAGGCTTCCACCAGCTCTTTCTTAGCGTCTACGCTTGCACCTTGAGTTCGAATCAGAAGGTTGATATCCCGAAAAATTTCGTCAATACGAAATCCTTGACCACATTGCTCAGTACTCTGCCCTGGGAGGCAGGGGATTTTCCATACGTGCTCTCCACCGAATCGAAATGGTTGCACTCAGACTACGGATGACAGACCCAATGTTTTCCTTACCGGCATGGATGTAGCTGATAAGGAAGGTTCTTCGTCAGACGTAGTTAGCAACGGACAGATTGCCTAATGTAATCGTTTAGTCTTTTCAGCAGATTTCGGCGGACTTAAGCTCAGTATCGGGTAGTTCCTTGTGATCTCCGTTCTGTGATGCAGCTTCAGCGTGTCGACGTGTCAACTTGTCAAGCAGTTTGAGCACAGTAATGGGGAAATTGGATCTACCTGCCTCCCATCACTGTGGCGGAGTCTCGAAATTGGGTAAAATACCATAGCACTGCTAAAATACCATAGGACTGCTAGGTTTATCGAACTAAAGGTGATGGTACATCAAGCATTCAGGCAGGTTTGACAGTTGTTTCATACGGATCGGAGTAAAACACTTTCGGGATATCAACTAACGCCAAGACGACGTTGGAAGTAGTTGCTGGAGAGTGACGAGGCGAGACATAGAATAGCGATGTAGCTTCCAAACAACCGTCTCGATGAAGAAGTGCAGGTTAGAGTAGGAGAGTTGAGTCTGCAGTGCCAGTGATCAGCGAGCACTAGTAATGGGAAAATTGGATCTACCTGCATCCCACCACTGCGGCGGGGTCTCGAAATTGGGCAAAATACCATAGCATTCCCACAGGGCTGCTAGATTTATCGAACTAAAGGTGATGGTACATCAAGCATTCAGGCAGGTTTGACAGTTGTTTCATACGGATCGGAGTAAAACACTTTCGGGATATCAACTAACGCCAAGACGACGTTGGAAGTAGTTGCTGGAGAGTGACGAGGCGAGACATAGAATAGCGATGTAGCTTCCAAACAACCGTCTCGATGAAGAAGTGCAGGTTAGAGTAGGAGAGTTGAGTCTGCAGTGCCAGTGATCAGCGAGCACCCAATGAAAGCATCGGACAAGAAGTGATAGCATGGAGATCGGTCCCAGTTGGTCCGGTGAAGCTGAAGCTATGGTAAAAGGAGTGCAATACGCATGAGGCGGACTGCACCCCGTAAAATAAGAGTAAGTTGAAGAACCCAGAAGGGTAGGTTGCAATGAACCGGCAAAGCATCCTGGGCCTGAGGTTGTGCAGGCCTTGGGAGGAATTGATTGTATGGCGGATTTTCTCACCTGTAATTTGTTAGGTCAAACTCCAATCAGATGGAAGCACCGCTCGATTTGACAGGCTATCTACCCGTTTTGGAGCGTAAGGCAGCTGTTTCCAATACTGCTTGGCGTGCAGGGGAAGGCAGAATTTACCTCTGTACAGATCCTTCCGCGACCCATCGAGCACAGCAGACGATTCGCCTTTCCGTCTTTGCTAGTAATGGGTCCGGATGGCCGCAAAGTTGGCTTGGAAGATCTGCTTTCGGCACTTGGTGGGCTAGCTGACGATGGTGTCAAGCGACAGGGTTTCACGTGCGTACAAATGACTTGGAGGCGCAGAGGTCCAGAAGCGGAAAGACTCGTTTCGGCGTCATGTGCAAGGTTGTGGCCCTCGGGCCGATGCCAGAGGGTCAAAAATAGCAAGCGAAATGCCAGCATGAGATCTCAGGAGTGACATAGCGCAACCAAAGCTTTGTTTGGACCAGTCGCTACGGTCATTAGCCTCTTACAAATAGGCCGCTATTTGAACTATAGTTTAACCAGGGCCGCCAGATGATAATTCGCCCTGTTGTACTTGTTAGCTATGTGCCCGTAACCTGGTTTTGATGCTGATAACCGATCGACAGGGAGAATACTGCTCGAATCTTACAAAGACCGCAGTTTGCGTATACACAACGGATATGTATTTTTAGCCAGACACAAGAGTGATTTTGACTCTTATTGGGACCTGCATGCACCGGAATTCTTCACTCGTCTAAAGTTAAGTGCATTATAGTAGGTTGGGTGTACGTTCTGGCAGTGTTGAGTCAGGTATTGACTCTTGTCGGAAAAAGGCGAGAATGGTCATCGCTGCCCGATTGGGCGACCACGCTCATGGCAATACTTTCATGGACGTGAACTCGAAAATGGGCCATCAAGCTGGTTTTTTAGTTGCAACGCTTGTAACATTCCTCACACGCGGGCCCCAAGATTTACAGCAGCGAAGCATCAATGCTAAACACTGATGATTCCCACGATTCTGGCATATGCGCTGGTTGGAACCGGTTCCGAGACGTCAGATCAGTCATATTGCATATTGTTGAAAGTAATCTGCCCATTGAAACCAGACAGGGTGGTTAGCTCTCTGGAGTTACCGGACGCTTACCCGACCCAGGAGATAGTTATTCGCGCCGACTAATACTGCTGCTGCTACTACCGATACCACCAATGCCTATTCCATACTGGCCCAACATGAAATGGTCGCGCGAAAATTGGGACCATCAGGCTAAGTGGCGTGAATAAATAGGGTACCGGAACACTGTCGATAGTGAAAAACAGGTTATATGGAGGCAGGCTGGCGAGGCTTGTGATCGGGGAAAAAGTGAACACCCGGATGATGTACATATAAATGCTGAGGCGGAATGGGCCTTGGCGCTAGCAACTTAACTGCCCCGGGTTATGAACATGAAGGGAAGTGCTACACCCTATTTCGCTTGTGCCTTTCGGGTAAACGGAACCCGCTGTGTGGGTGCGAGACATTGCACCTGCGGACGGATGCTATGAGGCGCCTTCAGGCGTCTGATCACAGATCCCTAAGAAGCCTGGCTAGTTCCGGATGGCATCAGCGTTTTGGTAACTAGGTGGCTAGAAAACGGATATTTGGTTGCGATGCAAGTACCTTAATCGGGAAGAACATCCAACATCACCAACCACGATGGCTCGGTCATGTGTTACAAAACCCAAAACACCGTGTACTGAGACGAGTATTGTTCTCCGCGCCACCTTCAGAATGGCGCAAACCGCGACGTGAAAAACGCATGACGTGGCGGAAGGGCGTGAAAACGATCACGAGGAGTTTGAGCGCTGTTGGA